GAACAGCCTGCTTCATCCCTTGAAGCAGCATCAGTACCTGAGCATGCCTGAGCTGGATTGGGGTGGGCTTCAAGAACTCATGTTCCATCATGTTCCTATAAATTGGAAACCTAGACAATTGAACCAGGTCCTTTCCTGTAGATTTGAAGTATGCCCATAGGACGCTTTTTGGACTTGCCATGGGACCAAAGATTGGCCAAACAGGTGTTTGGTTGCGCTCCATCTTCAATTTTGGGTATGTGTTCCTGGGTTCCCTTGAAATCTTAGCAAGAGACCACAAGGGACCCCATTAGCATCTCTGAGGGAAAGCCTGGGTTTCTGTGGTTTGTGGGGTAGGGCCCTGGTTAGGAACAGTTCATGTGTTAGTGTGGGCCTGACTTGGATTCTTTTAGTGGCTATCGCAGCAGTCTAGGGTATATTCTTGTTTATAGAAATAATGTGGAATGGATGCCAGCAAACCAGCTTGACGTCACCTTGGTTGCCAAGGACGCACCTGTGGAGCCACCACATCAGCTTCCAGCGCATGAACCTGCTGGAGGTGAACCTGCTGGTGCTTCATTGCATGCTGTTGGGTTTGTAGTGGAGCTAGGTGCGCAGAAGCCGCCTGTGTCTTCTTGTGTGCAAACTTCAGCAGAGAATTCAATACAACAACAAGCTGCTGCCACTGAAACAGCAGTGGCTGTGGCCAACCAACAACCAAGAAGAAAGTTGCCTTCCTCTTTTATCACGACAACAAACACGCCAGCAGATGTGAAGCAAGAATCAAAGGGGTCAGGTTCTTCTTCACAGCAGCCAACAGAAGCATCCATCAAACAGCCTGTGGACAGACCAGATTTGCCAGAGACTGGCACCAGTCTTAGCAAGGTCGCAGGTCAATCCTGTGAATCCAGAGACTGTCACCAGTCCTAGTCCTAGCAAGGTCGGAGTCAAGCAGGAGGACAAGCCTGCGAATCCAGAGATTGTCACCAGTCCTAGCAAGGTCAACGCGGTCTTGGATGCAATGCGGGTCCAAAATGAGACCAGCTTTTCCATGAAGGAAGAGAGCGCACAGGTCAAGAAAGAGCCTAAAAAAGAAGCTACTGAAGGACCAATGTTTGTAGTTAGTCGTGTTTGTGATGGCATGAAGGAGTAGTGGC